CTTGTGCTAACTGCATAAGAAATGACCATTCATAATTGTTTGCAAACTGTGTCAAACTGTTAACAGTACAGGAACTCCTTGAGAAATTCAGTGTTCTCTACCTAAGAAAGGAGCAGTTAGCATTGCATAGGGCAGGGACTGCCGGATCTTAAAAATTACTTTTCCGTTGCTAATATAAGTTGAAATGTTATAAATTGCCTTTTACTGCTCTTTGTCTCTAGTCCTCACATGGACCAAATTGAAATCCCTTAGTAACATCTTAACTGGCAACATCTCAGACAGATTGTAGGCCTACGACTCTTAACGTCACCACCATTTTTCTCCTGTATGATTTTTAACATCTTTGCCTGATGAAGAAGCTAGTGAAGCTTTGAAAGCATGCACAATATATTTTATCCTTTGGACATGGTCCAAAGAAGAGTATCACTTCATGTTGATCTTGTTGTGTCAAGATGGATACCTCATAGAGAAATCAGTATACACTCGTTCCTCCTTGTTCATGGACTTGGGAGTCCACAGTCTCACTCCTTTGTGGACAGCAAGTGCAGAGGGACAAAATGGCCTGCGTGTCCGAGGCGTGCACACAGTACCATGCACTAGATTGCGCACCCATTTTAACCAATGGGCTTTGAATATTTGCGGTTTTTCCAATTTGCAGGGGGGGGCAGAATAAATCCCCCGCGAATCAGGAGGGACGACTGTATTTTCAATCAGTGTTACTGTAAAATCAGACCATATATATTCAAAATAGAAAGCTGTTTTATATTGTTACACTGTGAAGCCAAAGAGCCAGGAGGATTAAATAGCATAAAATAAAATTGGGGAAAAATAAAATCTGGTCATGTTGAAAGGGTCTGGGTACATACACACAGGAGGGGAGAGAGAGCAAAAATCAAGACACTGTGGATAAAATTCAGTATCCTTTGGATTTCGTCTGTTATTTCTGTGACATTATTTACTGTAGGGAAACCTCAGAAGGAAATAGGTGTGGATGATCAGTTTGAGGCTTGAGCATCTCCTTCCTGAAGTAATTACTCATGCATAGCACAAAGAACAAAAATAAAGGGGCCGCAAACAAGTGCTGTTGTTTGAAACACCGTGCATGAGAAATGGAGAGGCAATGTGGTGTAGTGGTTTGGGTTATTAGGCTATGACTCTGGAGATCAGGGTTCAAATCCCTGCTTAGCCATGGGAAACGCACTGGACAAGTCACACTCTCTCAGTCTCAATGAAAGAAAGTGTCAAATCTTGTCTGGATAAGTCTTGCCAAGAAAATCCCATGGCAGGTTCTCTGTAGGTCAGCCATAAGTCAGAAACAATTTGAAGGCACACAGCAACAAGACGACTTGGTTGTTTGTGAAGGTAAAAAGAAGGTTTCTCTTTCTCCATGCATGCTTTGAAGGAGAAGGTGAAGTTATTTTGTTGTTACTTAAAGTAAAAGATAGTGATAGGAAAGAGTCCCAGGACAGCAACTAATGGTCAGAAGTGACAACAGCCTGGACTACACAGATGAATAGCGTAGCCCTGAAAAAGCATTTTCCTGTGTTCCTACCCAAACAGAGGTGAGGCTTCATTCATCAATCTATCAACCCATAAGGGAAAGAAAAGAGGATGCAGATGTTTCCAGTGTTAACATACTTCCAAGGAAACTGACAAATACTGAAATAGGATACCACTGTTTCACCCATTCCCCTCCACTATGGGGACTACAGAGAAAATATAAGAGGCAGCTATCCTATTTTTTTAAACAGAGAATTAGCTAATAGATTTCAGTGAGTGCAGAGCAGACAGACATAGCAGGGGCAGTGCAAAGCTCTGTTCAGGCATTAGTTTTGTATGTAATAAGAACAAGTTTATCTTAACCAACCGCCATTGTAATTCATAGTTACATTCAATGCATGGATGGCAGAAGTCTGAAGAAGAGTCTCTAGTATGTGTCTCTCTCCAGATTTCCAACTCTAATGGCAAGTCTCTACAGACAATGGGGAGGGGATGAAGAGGGGGGTAGACCAACATACTGCACACTTTGCATGCTTAATCTAAATACGAAGACAATGCTTGAATAGAGATCAAGTGTTTCACCACGAGGCTCTTCCACACTATATAATTATAACACTATGATTCCATTTTAATTGCCATGGCAACATTCTATGGGGTCTGCAATTTACAACAGATTTAGACTCCTCTGTCAGAATTCCAAATTGTTTTGTTGTTGTGTGCCTGCAAGTCATTTCCAACTTATGATGACCCTAAGGCAATCCCTATCATGAAGTTTTCTTGGCAAGATCTGTCTTTGCCTTCCTCTGTGGCTGAGCAGGGATTTGAACTCTAGTCTCCAGGGTCACAGTCCAAGACCCGAACTACTACACTATACTGGCTCTTACCCTTCTCTAAATGGCAAAACCCAGGATTCCAGAGAATGTTGTCATGGCAGTTAAAATGGTATAATTGTGTCATAACTGTAATGTGAACTTGCTCCAAATCTGTTCAGGGGATGCAGAATTCTAAATGCCACATGGTTTTCTGTGTCATAACTGGAATGGACTTCACAAGTGGTGCATAATGGAACCAATATGAGAAGTCAGATTCTAATTAAATATCAATTCCCAGAGAATCTGTTTTGAAAATATACACAGCAATTATGTGAGACCAGACCTTTAAAAGGTCATCGAGGTCCCCAAAGGAGCAAGGGCAGGGGATCCAATAGAGAGTGGGACTACTGATCAAAATATTTCCACCCTAAACCAAATAATGTGTTCAGATTTAAACTCAGCTGTGCCTCAAAGCACCAGAGAGTGGTAAAACCAGCAGGGTGCCTAGAGTCTCTGTAATGGAAATGGCAGTGTGGAACACATTCATTAATGATCTGTGTAGTCTGAACTGGGCAACAGTAATATAAATGCATACAAATGACTCATTTAACTAGATTATACTTCAGCAAACCACTCTTCTAATCACACTCTCATCTAAGCTTTTCTTTTAACAGTGTGTGAATTTTAAAAAAGTGTGTGAATGAGTAAAGTGTGTGTGTGTTCATGTACAAGTGTATATTTCCTCTGGCAGAAAAGTCAAAAACAATGGGAAACTTGACTTGACTAAATCACAGCATCCTGCACAATTTGTTCAAACTTCTTAAACCCAAGATGCTTAAGAATTAAAAGGGCCCATTGCAAATAAGCAAAGAGAGAAAAATGTACTACTGAGCATATCAGACAAACACTACTAAAATACTCTTACTGACATGTTAGGTTTTACATTATTTCTTACAGGAAAAATATCCCCAAATCATTTTCAATACTTCATTGTTGTTTCCCCACCCTCAAAAAAAAAAAAAAAAAAA